TCTAACCCATAACCTCACGCTAACATTTGAAGGACAACTTCACTTTAAAGCACACACTGCATTTGCATCAAAACCATGCTGGCCTCTACCAGTGTACACTGCGGCCTCATTCATTCTTATAGACCAGGGGTGGCAAACTCAGGCCCTCCAGCTGTGGTGAAACTACAAACCCCATGATGCATCTGCCTCTGCGAGTCGTGCCCGTGGCTGTGAGAATCTTGCAAAGCCTCAAGGGACTTGTAGTTCCACAACAGCTGGAGGGCCGGAGTTTGCCACCCCTGTTATAGGCAGTCTGCTGGATGGTTGGGGGCTGCCATGAGTAGGAATGAATGGAGCCACAGTGCACGTATGCAGGCAGCTATAAAGGGCACACATGATGCCGTTCTGTAATGAAGAATATGGGGGCGTGTTTAACTGCCTGCCATTGTAATTATGCGGCTGGATGGCAGCTGCCTAGTAGCGGGTCTCTATGTGCAAATGGGATCTGGTAATGAACATCGTTTACAGCCAGCGGTGACTGTTTACATACAAGCGCACACTTCCACCTGCTGATCTCCCTTCCGATCTCTCAATGCGGAAGTGACTGCTGTAGCCAGAGACGAAGCTGGTGAAGCAGATCTGCCTCATCAGCTTCTTCTGGGATTCCTAGGTGACATTAGGGGTCTCCATAAAGAGGACCTGTCACTGTATATTAGCTATCACATAGGGGGCTTGTTAGGGGCCATCAATCACCTGTTAGGGGCCATCAATAACACTAAATCAATGAGCGGTAAAAGCTTTTAAAGTGTTTTCAGGTATTTCAGGTCGTTTTTTGCACACGTAATTCTAAGGCTTGACATGTTTTTGGTGTCTATTTACCCGACGTGACCCTTTTATATTTTACCAAAAAATTGGGTAATTATTAGACTTGTGCATTCGGATGAACCTGCAAATCAACCAAAATCAGTTGATTCGGGGGTTCGTCCGAATCCGAAATAACAAATTTAATTAGGTGCTGCGAAAATTAATGATTTAATTCCTCGATTAATTGTCAATTTTTTTGATTTATTAAACTTTTTTTGATCGGTACCCGCCTGTCCACCGTCTTCCGGGAGTTCCGTCGGAGATCCGGTGACGTCACGGACATCGACGTTACCGGACTCCTCCCCCCTTCCCCAAGTGGCTCCGTCGGCTAACGAAGGGAAAGGGGAGTCTGGTGACGTCGATGTCCGTGACGTCACCGGACTCCTCCCCCCTTCCCTTCGTTAGCCGATGGAGCCACTTGGGCCGGTGAGTACTTGTTCTGCACGAGCGCCAGCCAAGGCATTGGCCTATACACATACAGCACAGCAATGAAGTAATAAAATGAACTAGGATCACACTAATCCAGCACGTTATTATTCTGAGTTGCCCCACTCAAGCGGCGGCCATATTGAGTGGGGCACGTGAGATTAATAACGTGCTGGATTACTGTGATCCTGGTTCATTTTATTACTTCATTGCTGTGCTGTATGTGTATAGGCCAATGTAGTTGGATCTGTATGTGCATTATAATTGATTGAAATGAATCGATTAAAAAATGTTTTGATTAATCGAACGCGAAAATTTTAATAATTACCAGCCCTAAATGTAATATATGACCAAATACACTAAAACAATAACATACGGGCATACATTAATTTGTTTTCAGAACATGCCCGCCGACATCTTGGAGGCAGAGCGTGTGATGTCACGCGCTGAACGTGCGGCGGCCAGATCGCCCACCGGCACGTTCTGTGCATGCGCAGCGCCATTTTGGAGTAGATCTAGGTATACACCAAGATGGAGGCGCTTGAACATGCGGGCGCTGCCATCTTGGTGTATACCTAGATTTACTCCAACATGGCTGTGCGCATGCGCAGAACACACAGTGGCGGCCGAAATTGCCGCCGCTCGTTCTGCGGTTTCAGTGTGCTGTTTCGGATTTGGAGCCTCGTTGCCTCCGAATCCGACAACAAAAACAACATAAAAATGTGTTTCCTTTGGCGAAACAAATGAAAACGTTTTTCGTTTTCATTTGCTTTGGCTGAAAACAATTTTTTTTTTGGTTTTGCACATGTCTAGTAATAATAAATGTTTCATAACATAAGGAATGAAACTATTTAATTTTTTTTATTTCAGTGCTTTTTATTTGTATATTAAAAAATAATCCCCCCATGGTGATTAAATACCACCAAAAGAAAGCTCTGTTGCAAAAAACATTATATAAAATTCATTTTGGTACAGCATTGTATGACTGCATATATGTTGAAGTACCTCAGCTTCCGGGGGTTACATGCAAGCAGTAGTAAGCATCTGAATTTGACTTGGTGTTAGCCTCCTGCAGTCCCTGTATAGCAGAGCTCAGAATGGAGTAGAGAGAAGGGGGGCCACAGTGTTCGGAGGGGACTTGTAAGGACTTGTTTATGGAGCAGAATTCAAAGCATAGCTTCTAAATCATCAAGAAGATGGCGGCAGGCATGCGCAGAACACGCTGGCGGCCATATTGGCCGCTGTCGTGTTCTGTAAACAAATGAATGTATGCCCGAATATAGTTTTAGTATATGCATCTAGAAGGCCTGGGGCACTCAGTAGAAGGCCTGGGGCACTCGGTAGAAGGCCTTGGGCACTCGGTAGAAGGCCTTGGGCACTCGGTAGAAGGCCTTGGGCACTCGGTAGAAGGCCTGGGGGACTCGGTAGAAGGCCTGGGCGACTCGGTAGAAGGCCTGGGGAATTGCTTAGAAGATAAAAGAAGACTTGGAACTCCATTTTAAGACCTGAAGTACTCAATAGAAGACCTGGGGCCCTCAGTAGAAGACCTGGGGCACGTGCCCTGGGTACCAGGGTCTAGAACCACCACTCCACATTACCAAAATGTGCGTTGGGGCACATACCATACATTTCTGTGCTATTCATTTTGAATGGTACCCCAAGGCCCTAAGGCAGCGCATCTGCATTAGTGTGCCGCAATGCATAGCGACACACACTAATATGTTTTGCAGCCTTGGCTTACAAAAAAGGGACATGCGCATTTTTTTTCTCAGAGGCCCTTATAGAATCTGATTTTATTTTTATCTGGTGTTTGTAAATCCTGGGTGAAGCAGAATCAATCCTCTTTTCGGGTGTGTGAGGTTACCACACCTGGTTTGGTCCACACCTTCTAATTCAACTTCAAGACTCCGCACAGATAACAGGTTGTTCCATAAAGCTTGCAGGAATTTGAGCGCGCACAAACGTCTGGGCAACATCAACTCTTAACCTCAGTGCAGATCTCCAGAAATAACCGCTCGGAATGTTTGCATTTCATCACGGGAGAGACAAGCAAGGCCGAGCTTTATCACACAGACCACAGACGGCACACGGTCAGATTTAAAAGTGATTTGGGTCGGCGCAGTGTGGTGGAGCAGGCTGAAAAATTTAGAAATCGTTTAAATTTTTGCATTCTAGCTGCCAGCTGTGTCAAATCTGAATTTTGGGTGGCTTTTTTTTAAAAAATTCACAACTTTGAAATGCAATTTTGCGTTTGGACAACTGCATATAGTTGCATATGCATAGTAGCTAAGGTTGCATAGAGACTTGGGTCTAGACATACGTACACATTTTTCTACATTTGGACACATCCGAATTTCCGAATCCCAATGCATCCGAATGTGTCCGAATCCAAATTTCCGTTTCTGAATTCTGGATCCCGTACGAATTTCGTTCAATAACTAAACTGAATCGGACATGTGACTTTTCTGGCCAATCAGATGTGTTTTTCGGTTTAATGCCTCCGAATGGGTCTGAACACGAATTTTCATTATGGCAACTTGGGAGCCATATACAGTATATACATATAATACTAAAGCTGAGGCTCCCAGACCCGAATGGCATTTGGGATCCGAATTTCCAAATTGCATTTGGGAGCTCTTGAATACCATTAGGGTCTGGGAGCCTCAGCTTTGGATATATATTTATATGGCTCCCAGAACCGAATGCCATTTGGGAGCTCCTGAATACCATTAGGGTCTGGGAGATTCAGCTTCAGTATTAATATCTGTATATGGTTTTCTGTGGTATTCGCAACGAATATTCGTAAACTCATCCAAAACTAACGAAAGTTCGGATTTCATCCAAATCCGAAACCCGAACCAAATTGAATTTCAGATCCGAATTCCCGAAATAATCGAACCAAATTTTTCTGCAGCTTACATGTCTACTCAGGTCCCAATAGTTCACTGTGTGTGTGTGTGTGTGTGTGTGTTTCTGTATTAATTGGGTCTTAGAAGTTCCTGTATCCTTCTATATTTCGTGAACTAAGGAAATCATTAGACATGTGCACTGCCCAAAAAATAGTTTAGTTTTGTTTCGTTTTAAATTCGGATTTGTGTTATTTCGTTTTTCGGGATTCGGGTGTGAAAGTTGATTCGGAATTCGGATTCGGACGAAATTCGGTAGCGGTAGTTCGGTCGAACGTTCGTTTCATTTTCGTTTCTTATTCGGTTCGTTCGTTCGTTTGCAGCAAAGTGACATTTGAGGGGGAAAAATGGTTTTCTCCTTCTCTAATGTCAATTTGCTCCAACGAACGAAACGATTTACATTCGTTATATCTGTAATTCGGAATTCGGATACATCCGAATTTCCGAAAATTCGTCCGAATTTCGATTCGGAACGAAACGAATCACACGTCTAGAAATCATCCAGAAGTTTCTTGAATCTATCAATGGTCTCGGCGACACTACTGACTGCGTATCTATTTAAAGGGATGCACTTTTTTTTTTTATTGTGTTGTTTAACGTAAGATAGCAGACATACAGCGGGCTTAGCTCAGATATATATTTATTTCACTAGTTGTAGTATGATACAAAAAGTCCTTGTTTCAAGCTCACTGGTCCTCCAAAGTAGACCTCCCAGACCGCCCAGAATTAATTTAAATTCATGTGTTGGATAATAGACATAGCCTGCAGGCAGTACATTTATAGGATTATTTTACATTTTCTTTCTTTCATTGGTTGTAGGCTGTCACATGATTGCGGAGACCATCACATCCTAGAGAGGAAATCCAAACAGCCACCATGACACAAACCACCGAAGTGGTGAACTTGACTTACCTCTCCGAGACAGAACGAGACCTCATCCTTCAAGTCCTGCAACGTGATGAGGATTTACGCAAAACTGAAGACAGAAGGATCAGGTTGGGAAGGAAACAATTTTCATACCATCATGAATGTGATTCTACTTCTTAAGCTGGCCGTACACCTATAGATTGTCTGAAGATTTTCTACGGTCAGATGGAATAAGTGCAACAGATTCTTCCATCTACGCTACACTGTGTGGATGGAGGAATCTCCCACTGGGCCAAGCTTCAGTATCTTGCTAGTCGGCCCCGATGGCTGTCAAAATACCTGAACAACCTGATTGGATGCCGACACTGTTCAGGTATTTTGAGAGCTAGCAGGACTGACTAGCAAGATACTGAAGCTTGGCCCAGTGGGAGATTCCTCCATCCACACAGTTTAGCGTAGATGGAAGAATCTGTTTCACTTTTTCCATCTGACCATAGAAAATCTGCAGATCATCTAGAGGTGTATGGCCAGCTTTAGACGTCTTAAAGTTTTTCAGCGGTGAAAGGTCTTCCTCAAAATTCCTAGTTCCTCCTCTGCAGCCATCACAAGGAGCTCACCACCTTTTCTGCTGCTTCTCCTCTAACCCAATTAAAGAACACTCCAGTAGATATACTGTATATAGCCAATGTGGCATTTAGACCATATATACCACTTCCCGCACTCCAGCATCCCTACCCCTAGGCCTCAGGACAGCACCCCAACCTGGACTGATCCATGGCTGGTCCCGAACTGAGCACATGGCAATTCCCTCGAGTATATAAGAACTTACCCTGAATGCAACTGGTGAACTGCACACACACTCACAGTGCCCCTCATTGGCTGTGCCACACTATAGCAGGTCACACTCCACCCAGGTAGGTACAATCAATGTCAGAACACCTGGAATTACTCAAATAAATACCAACTATAATTCAGCCGGGCTGACTACAGCTCTGGCAATCACTAAGTATCTAGTAGCCACTCCACTAAAGGTGATGGGGCTACGTATAAAATACCATTATATGTTCCCTTCAAGGTAATTAACCACAGCCTGCTGTCACCATAAAATATTGTTGCCCTATGCTCCAGCCTATGATGCCCTTGCCTCCATTCTGGCCTTAGTGGCTGCGAATCGCGCCCCTTCCTGGTATCGGCAATTGTGGAAAAGATGCTTTCAGGACTTCTGGGATTTTCACCTACCTGTTCTCTCTTTTAATAGGCGCCTGAAAAATGAACTGCTTGAAATACGGAGGAAAGGAGCAAAGAGGGGGAGCCAGCGGTACGGCGACAGGACCTGCGCACGCTGCCAGCAGAACGTGGGCAGGGTGCTCCCCAAGACGAACACCTGCCGGAGCTGTAGCCACCTCGTGTGCAAGGACTGCAGGATGGACACCATTACCGGGGGCTGGAAGTGCAAAGTCTGCATCAAGGAAGCGTGAGTTACAATTTTTTTTTTTTTTTGGTGTAAAAAGTTCAATTAGGGATACTAGTATTGGTATTGGTGCCGATACCGAGTATTTGGGCGAGTACTCGTACTCGCCCAAATGCTCCGATACCTTCACCGATACCAGAAATTCCGGTCAAAGGAAGATTTCCTCTGACCGGCAGTGCTATAGGGGAATATGGAGCCAGCTTCCCGTCCGATCAGGAAGCTGGGCGGTGAGTAATTACCTGGCTTCCTGATTGGCCTATAAGCCGGCTCTATGCTGATTGGCCGGGAAGCCGGCTTCCTGGCCAATCAGCATCGAGCAGGCAGAACAACCGGCTTCTATCTGATTGGCCAGGAAGCCGGCTTCCCATTACTCGCCGCCCAGCGTCCTGATTGCCCAGTAAGCCGGCTCGATGCTGATCGGCTGGGAAGCCAGTTTCCCGGGCCAATCACATTCAAGCCGGGCAAACAACATGGAGCCAGCTTTTACGGGCAATCAGGAAGCCGGGCAGCATGTCATTACCCACTAGATTTGTGCACCAGCAAAAAAATTGTTTAGTTTCGTTTCGTTTTGATTCATATTTAGCTTTATTTAGTTTTTCGGAATTCGGGTCCGAAAGTCAATTCGTTTCGGAATTCGGATTCGGACGAAAGTATGAACTTTTGTTTTCGTTTAGTTTTGTTTGTTGCAGCAAAGTGGCATTTAAGAGGGAAAAAAAGTTTTTTTGTTCTCAAATGTCACTTTGCTGCAACGAAAGTTCGTCCAAAAAAAAAACGAATTGGAAATTTGGATTCGTTTGCATTCGCTATACCTGTAATTCGGAATTCGGATAATCCAAATCTCAGAATTTCCGAAATTGCGGCCGAATTTCAATTAGAAACGAATCGAATCGCACATGTCTATTACCCACCGCCCAGCTTCCTGATTGCCCGGGAAGCCTGCTCCATGTCAGCGGAAGCACCGGTATCGGCGAGTACCGAAAGCAAAGTATCGCTACTCGTACTCGATACCGAAAAAAACGGTATCAGTGCTTCCCTAGTTTCAATATTATTCCAGCATGCAGGGAAATGTCTGCACAGCGTGGAAATAAATATTTAAGTATTGTGTCTATTGAGAGGCAGGCGGCCGATTTACATGAAGATATTCTTCTGAACAGCTTCCTTCTTCCTCAGGGAACTGAAGAAATCCACCGGAGATTGGTTTTATGACCAGAAGGTGAATCGGTTCGCCAACAGACTCGGCAGCGATTTAGTGAGGATCTCGCTGCGCCGCAAGCCTCCGGGACCAGGTGAGCAGCTAATTAAAGAAGCTTCTTCTTCACCTATGTAATTCTCCAGTCCGTTCCTGAACATGTTAACCTTTCCTGAAATAAAAGGGCAGAGGGCTGCAGAATCCAGGTTTTCATGTTGTCACACACCCTCAGTGAAGACCTCTTATTCCATGTGTGTTTCTTGTGCCCAGCTTATTATAGATTATGGCCTCTCCAAAATCGGTCAGCAACCCCCCACCCATACTTGACCGAAGGTTTTTACAGCCAAATCATTGAAATGCTCATATCTGTACCATTTTATTATGCTGCTGGAAAAAAGAAGTATGTCATCAAGATTGGTCAGTGCTGATGAGGACAACCGAAGGCTGCAGACAGCAACAACTGTGTCCCTAGTGTGTCATTCGTTTACTGGCATATCTAGCTTCAGTTAGTTAAAGAAAAACTCTGAGTAAAAATTTGATTAACTTGCAGTGCTGGGGTAGCGCCTAGGGTCAAAAATTAGTTCTATTCACCCGAACCTCCGAATCGGCCCAAATGTGACAGTGCTCCCTCCAGCCTGTCTCCTTCTATGCTGCAGTGATGTTATGCCCTTTGGCGTCTATGTGTATAGAACGTGGTGACTCAGGGACCGTAGACTGCTGCAGCGGAGTGGGGGAGAGAGGCTCCAGAGACGGGTCTAAAAACAAGCCGGCTCCGAGAATGATTACCTTGACCCTAGGAAAAAACAAGCACTGAACCCTTGCAGTGAGGGGGTGGGTAGCCCCACTGCAAGGGTTAATAACATTTTTACCTGGAGTTCTTCTATAAAGGATAAGTTTACCTTTCTGACCATGTTCCATGTCCCACTCATATTTAGGGTGTAAGATTAAACATGGTCAAATTGCAATACCCCCCCCCCCCCCCCTACCCCCACTTACCTGAATCGCATGGGTTCTTCCTTCCCGCAAGCGGGTTTACCTTGTTGAATTTGGTGGAGCCAAGCGCAGCCGCGTCATCTATTCACAGATTGTTTCACAGCCACTATGGCAGAGTGACTTGTAGTTTTACTGGAATTCAAGTGCAGTGGTGTCACCGCAATGTAGCCCATTGACCCTTCCTCTCATCCATGTTACTGCATGGCCATACTTCAGTAGAGACAAGGACGGGAGGAACAGTCTGCAGGAGCCGGAGCATTGAACCTCCTGAACCTAACAATCTACTGATGGCGGTTGCAATGCTTTACTGGCTCCTATGCAAAAAAAATCATAAATGCGCATTTTTTCTTTTATTAAGCAGGGCGTGTTTTATTTATTTGCAAAAGGTGGAATTTCCCTTTAACAACAGATCTATTACAGCTTTGGTACTTTTGATTGAAATAAATTTTTTTTTTTTCTCAAGTCAAGCCGGTTATGCTATTGCTAAAGGATATGTTTGATTTTTACCCTCACCTTGCCGGTTTCTTCTGGCCTGCCACGCAGGTTCAGCCTCTCCTGATGCAAAGTTCCCTTTTGTTCAGGTTGCTAAATGCACCTTATAAGAGAAGCCTCCCCCCGAATCCTCAGAGTTTGGGGTGCAGGATATGGTCTCTTGGGGTTCTCTCACATTGGATGCCTCCTCCATCATGGCGGCATGATGGAGGAGGCATCCAGACATTTGCTTTACTTCCTGGTTACTCTAGCTGTACTGTGATCAAGAAGATGGAGCCACAGATTAGTCTCTGGGTCCACTCTGCGGATGGATTACAATCTTAATACAAATGGTCTACCTAAGCATGAGATTGTAATCCATCCTGGGAGTGAGCTTGGAGCGGTGACTACTCTACAACACATCTCTGAATTGGTGCTGACACTGTCCTTCCTTCTGGAGGGGGGCTACTTGTGTTCCCCATGGTCCCTGTGTGTGTTGTAAAGTAGTCAACGTTCCAAGCTCACTCCTGGGATGGACTACAATCCCATGTTTATTTTATTCATTTGTATTGAGATTGTAGTCCATCCCGGGAACGAGCTCGGAGCGGTGACTACTTTACAACACACACAGGGACCATGGGGAGCACAAGTAGCCCCCCCTCCAGAAGGAAGGACAGTGTCGGCACCAATTCAGAGATGATTGGAGGATCTACAGCCGAGTGATACACAAATAAGATACATTTTTGCTAATATTTAAGGTTCTGAATGTATTTTTAAGATTTAACTTCTGGGTTTACTGTCACTTTAAGTTTGTGTAGCTAAATGAACCTTTTGCTAACTTTTTTGCACTTTTTAATATACTACAGTTTGTAAGCTGTAGTTTCTATGAATGAGGCCGTAGCCGTATACTCATGATACAGTATTTATGGTAATTTTGGTTTAAAATTTTGATTAAAAAAAATCCTTTATAAAGAGCTTCTCTCATCCACAGTCAACAAACGAGAGACAACAGCGCAGGCCCTCCTCGAATATTCACAGCAGGTTAACGAGCAGAAAGCAAGAAGCGAGCAGAAGAGCCCCCAGCAGCAACAGAGGAATTCTGGGTAATCGCATTATAGGCCTCCTGCTATGCAGAAACTCTCCTTCCCGTCAGTAGATAACACCGTCCAGATGTACACATGATGCTCATTAGCTGATTAAAGCTGAACTCCGTCCTTCCCTTCAGTCTTGCACAGTTGTACCGGCTCCTCTCCTGGATTGGAATGGCTTCCTCTGATTTCACTGCACACTGGGAGCTTCTCATAATGTGCATTAGAAGCTGCAGCAAGTCAGATAGAGCACGCCTCATTTCCAGCATCATCTAGTCTTTCCTCCCCAGTATGACTGTCCCTTGCCCGTCCCTTTCATTCATTGGCTTTCATTTATTTTAATCACCCATTTGAATTGTATCGCAGGAAGGCGACTGGTTCTCCGGACCTGAGAGATCAGAGGAGTGACACAGAATCTGCCGAGAAAATGAGTATTAACAGCTACAAAATGGACTCGATGAAGAGCACGCCCACCATGTCAAGGTGAGTGTCCAACCCCAAGGGCTCTTTTTGCCCAAACTTGTTTTTCAGGTTTTTGTAGATGCTGCCGAATTAAATCCTAACTGCAAGCAATTTTTTTTTTAATTGGTGCTCCAGGAGGTGTAAAGGGAAAAATTTAAAAATGAGCTCTGGGTGCAATGCTCACTTCCAACCAAAGCTGATGTCTTTCTGCCAGTAGATGTCCTCAGTCTTCCTCCGAACTGAGGACATCCTATGAGTGCAGGATATCATGGACCTACCTTCTGAGGGGGGCTCACCACAGCATGCTGCACTCACATACATTGATGCAGAGAGCAGTACTGACATAATATTGTCAATGTCCTTCCCTGCAACACTGAGGGCTGCCCACCAGCGAGGAAGAGGAATAGAACACAGTGTGTCATTAGGACCCCACCTGGAGATCCTCCCACCGGACCAGCGCTGACTCGCCGCTGCTCTCCCGCACCGAAGGTAAGTGAAAAAAAACCCATAGCGCAAACATTGGGGCATTTTGACAAATGCACCTTGCCTGTGTGGGCAAGAATCCTAGCATCGGCCCTGGTCACTTGACCAGTCTGAAAACACATGAAAAGGGTAACTGTAGAATAAAACATAACATACCACTGGGGAGGGGTCTTTTGGGGAAAAGGTGTGAGCCTGAAGTGGAGATTTAAACTGCCTAACACAGTGTTTGCCATGGAGTCTCACCAACCCACATGTTTTGCAGGTAGCCTTATGTACAGTATACCTAGGAAGAATAATCAATACAACTTAGCTACCTCTGAAGATATCCATGAAGCATGGCTTGAGGACCAGATTGGTAACATCTGGCCTATCGGCTTCTTTTTTTGGTATTCAGACATCACATCATGCCACCCAAGCCCACCAGAATGATAAAACCCTTGTGTACAATCTCTACACCTTTGTATCATGTGATTTTATTACTTAAAATCTTTGGTCGGAGGCGATATGGAATCTGATTTAAGTGCAGGAATATTTTTCAACTGTATGGACCAAACAAATTCATCTAAAAATGTTGAACCAAAGTCCAGGGTTAGGGTACCACACGCTCAATATCTACAAGGAATCCAAAGATAAAGGCAAAGTGGGGTTTTACCATTGACCCATAAATCATAATCTATAGATCAGATAAAACATCACTCTTTATTTATACATGTAGCCCCCCCATCGCCTTTTGTGATATGACTACTAGACATTTAGTGATTGCCAGGGCTGTAGTCAACCTGGCTGGATTATAGTTGGCATTTATCTGGTTAATTCCAGGGGTCTGGCATTGACTGTACCATGGGTGGAGTGTGACTCTGCTGTATTGTGGGACAGCCAATGAGTGCCCACCTCTCATGGATATTAATACAGGAGGATCTGTACCCTTCCTGTGGATACTTTTTTTATCTATTTTGTATTATGGAACATCTACGAGGCTTAGACAATACATTAATGTAGACAGGAACATCTAAACTTCAGGGTGGGTGAGAAGAGAGCCAGGAACAACTGCATGGTAGGGGAGAATGCACTGCTGGAGACCCCAGATTCTTCAAGGGTAGTTGTATATTACCATTTTAGGAGACCTTTCAAGCCCCAACTGCAACATGCAGTCCTACTCCCTCTGCTTATAGGGTTCAAAGAGCCTTTGGACAGCAGTCCTACAGTGTGCATTTTTCATTTGATACCGACTTCAGCACAATCCATCACAATTTAGATCATCACAACCCAATGCAGGCGGTGTTAAGGTGCCCCCTAATGCACCAGATTTAACTGTCATTGGGTGGCTTTATGCCCTTCAAGGCTCAAGCTCTATGTGAGCCATTTACTCTTGGGTGTACTGACAGTTTATAACATTCCACCTGACCCATCATTCAAAGTATTTGCAGCAGACAGATCAATTAATGAATTACTCCATTGTTCCTGAAGCTACAAAGGTCAGTGATGTTTTGTTTAAAGTACATTTACTGCTTGTTATGAATATTCAAATATTTGAATGTCTGTAGCCAAGTCACGGGTCTACAGTCCTTTAAAGTGCACCTACGTCCAGACTATGAACATCAAACTATTTACATCATTTTAACAAGCAGTAAAATACTGTTAAAACAATTTATCACTGACCTCTGTAGATGCTTTTAATGTGAAGCAGTGGAGTAACAATCGCCATAGCGACCCAGGAGGCCGCTATGGGGACCGGGCACAGGGGGGCCTGGTCAGGGCCGCCTGGGTCGCTATGGCATGTGGGGGTGCTGGCTGTCACTGACACAGCTCAGCAGCGGCCACGGCGCATTTCCCCTCATAGCCGCTGCGGAGCTGTGTCAGTGACAGCCAGCCGCTGCGGCAGCTGAGGGCGGGTGTCGGAAT